ATACATACAATATATTATGAAGCCCCCTGGGATAGATGATAGAGAAAGAGATGATAAATACAGATGATTGATTGATTGATTTATTTATGACATTTATATGCCACCCTTCTCACCCTGCAGGGGACTCAGAGCAGCTTACTATACACACACACACACACACACACACACACACACACACACACACAGACACACATACAAACAATATATTATGAAGCCCCCTGGGATAGATGATAGAGAAAGAGATGATAAATACAGGTGATTGATAGATTGATTAATTTATTTATGACATTTATATGCCGCCCTTCTCATCCGGAAGGGGACTCAGAGCGGCTTACTATAGATAGATAGATAGATAGATAGATAGATAGATAGATAGATAGATAGATACACACACACACACACACACACACATACATACATACATCATACATACATACAATATGTTATGAAGCCCTCTGGGATAAATGATAGAGAAAGCGATGATAAATACAGATCATTGATAGATTAATTTATTTATTTGCGACATTTATATGCTGCCCTTCTCACCCTGAAGGGGACTCAGAGCGGCTTACAAGATATATATCTATATATACACAATACACACATACATACATATACAGACACACATACATACAATATATTATGAAGAGAAAGAGATGCTAAATACAGATGATTGATAGATAGATTTATTTATTTATTTACAACATTTATATGCCGCCCTTCTCACCCTGAAGGGCACTCAGAGCGGCTTACAAGATACACACACATACATACAATATATTATGAAGCCCCCTGGGATAGATGATAGAGAAAAAGACGATAAATACAGATCATTTATTTATAACATTTATATGCCGCACTTCTCACCTTAAAGGAGACTCAGAGCGGCTTACAATATACACACGCACACACATACATACACACACATACATACATACAATATGTTATGATGAGTAGAAATAAAGGTGACCAAGAAAGACAGTGATAGGTGATAGAGAAAGAGGTGATAGGTAGAGATGAGAGATAGATAGATGATAAGTAGAAATAAAGATGATGGATAAATAGAGATGATAGATAGACAGGTGATTGATAGAGAAAGAGGTGACAGGTACAGATGAGAGATAGATAGATGACAAGTAGAAATAAAGATGATAGATAGATAGAGATGTTAGTTAGGTGATTGATAGAGAAAGAGGTGATAGGTACAGATGAGAGATAGATAGATGACAAGTAGAAATAAAGTTGATAGAGATGATAGATAGAGAGGTGATAGAGAAAGAGGTGATAGGTACAGATAGAATCATAGAATCTTAGAGTTGGAAGAGACCTCATGGGCCATCCAGTCCAACCCCCTGCCAAGAAGCAGGAAAACTGCATTCAAAGCACCCCTGACAGATGGCCATCTAGCCTCTGTTTAAAAACCTCCAAAGAAGGAGCCTCCACCAGATGAGAGATGGGTAGACGATAAGTAGAAATAAAGATGATGGATAGATAGAGATGATAGATAGGTGATTAATAGAGAAAGAGGTGAAAGGTATAGATGAGAGATAGATAGATGACAGATAGAAATAAAGATAATAGAGGCAGGAAAAAATGAAATGCAAAGATACAGAATGGGGGACACCTGGCTTGACAGCAATATGTGTGAAAAAGCGTCCTTGTAGGCATGAGCCAACCATGTGATGCAACAGCTTAAAAAGCCAATGATTTTGGCCTGCATCAATAGGAGTCTAGTGTCTAGATCCAGAGAAGTCATGACACCCCTCTATTCTGCCTTGGTCAGACCACACCTGGAATCACACTGTGTCCAATTCTGGGCACCACAATTGAAGGGAGATGTTGACAAGCTGGAATGTATCCAGAGGAGGGCGACTCAAATGATCAATTGTCTGGAGAACAAGCCCTATGAGGAGCTGCTTGAAGAGCTGGGCATGTTTAGCCTGTAGAAGAGAAGACTGAGAGGAGACATGATGAGGGCCATGGATCAAGATGTGAGGAAAAGTCATAGGTAGGAGGGAGTAGGTTTGTTTTCTGCTCTTCTGGAGACTAGGACGCAGAACAATGGCTTCAAACTACAGGAAAGGAGATTCCACCTCAACATTAGGAAGAACTTCCTAACTGAGAGCTGTGGAACTCTCTGCACTGGAGTGTGGTGGAGGCTCCTTCTTTGGAGGTTTTGAAACAGAGGTTGGATGGCCATCTGTCAGGGGTGCTTTGAATGTGATTTTTCTGCTTCTTGGCAGAATGGGGTTGGACTGGATGCCCACGAGATCTCTTCCAACTCTAGGATTCTATGAAAGATAGATGATAGAATGATAGATTGACAGATGATAGAGAAAGAAGTGATAGGTACAGATGATACATAGATAGATGACAGATAGAAATAAAGATTATAGAGAATGACAGATGATAGATAGATGGATGGATGATAGAGAAAGAGGTGCTAAGTACCAATGAGAGATAGATAGATGACAGCTAGAAATAAAGATGATAAAGACAGATGATAGATAGACAAGTGATAGATAGAGAAAGAGAAACTGGATTAATGTGGCAGTGTAGATAGGGCCTGTGTTTCAGGGGAAGTGCTGTGCATGCCTGTCTGTGTCCGAGTCATTGGGGTTGGTCTGTTTTATTTCCAGTGCCCCCCTCATCCTTGTCCCCTCGCCCCCTTCCCAGCTGTATTACCAGGTGCTGAACTTTGGGATGATCGTTTCCTCTGCACTGATGATCTGGAAGGGGCTGATGGTGGCAACGGGCAGCGAGAGCCCCATCGTGGTCGTACTTAGGTAAAACCGTGCCGAAAGGAGCCACATTGCAGTGGGAGACCTCAAAGGAAGAACACAGTTTGAATAGAATGGAATGGGCTTTCAAGTCCGACACCTCTGCTGCAGTGCTTCCCAACCTTTGGTCTTCCAGGTGTTTTGGACTCCAGCTCCCACAATTCAGCTGGTAAGATTGCTGGGATTTCTGGGAGTTGAAGTGCAAAACACCCAGAGGACCAAAGGGTGGGATCCCCTGCTCTACTGAGTGTGTCTTCTGCCATAACTTAGCACCATCCCTTGAACACAAGTGTTAGCTGGATGGAGGGCTACACAAATTGAGAAGTAACTTCTCCAGTCCCTAGGCCGCAAAGCCTATTAAAAGATGTGACATGGTTTTTGTTGCACAATATGTTCCAACACCACCAGTAACAATAATAATAGTATATTTATTACTCACTTCTCCTTATGGCTCAAGGCGAAGTACAACATGGTTAAAGCACTATTAAAAGTTGCATTTTACACAGGTAAAATGCAACTTTTCAATTTTCAAACTATTTCAGAGATGGTGGCGGGTTATAAATAAATAATAATAATAATAATAATTATAATTATTATTATTATTATTTGAAACACAACAAGATGAGTTCACAGCAGACACTCTGTTGGCTGTTGTATTGGATCCCACGTTGGACCCTTCCCAAGTGTCTAGGACTGTGTGATGTATCGGCGAATAAGGTGGCCTTTTGCAGCTGGCAGATGGTAATCTTGTCAGCACCGATTGTGTTTAAGTGCAGGCCAAGGTCTTTAGGCACTGCACCCAGTGTGCCAGTCACCACTGGGACCCCCTTGACTGGCTTGTGCCAGAGTCTTTGCATATTTACTATTTATATTATATTTATTATTATTTTACTGACATAAAAGCACAGTATGTCACAGCAAACGAGATCTATATGCTGGATTTCGTATCACAAAATCACAAGTCGAACACTTCCCAAGCGTCTAGGACTGAGTGATGTATTTTCGAATGATGCGCACAGATCCAAGTAAGGTGGCTTTTTGCAGTTGACAGATCGTGATTTTGTCGATGTTTATTGTTTCCAAATGCTGACAGAGATCTTTTGGCACGGCACCCAGTGCGCCAGTGACCACTGGGACCACCTGGACTGGTTTATGCCAGAGCCTTTGCAATTTGATTTTGAGGTCTTGATAGCGGCTGAGTTTTTCCTATACTACTACTACTACTACTATTATTATTATTATTATTAAAATGACCGATTGTGCAATTCAGATAGTTCTTTTTCATATGCTTTTTTTTAGCCCTTGAAAACCAGCCTGGCCGATAGCCTTGAGACACACATCCAACTTTAACCACCAATTTTGTCTTTCAGTGGCAGCATGGAGCCTGCTTTCCACAGAGGAGACCTCCTCTTCTTAACCAACCGCATTGAAGAGCCAATCAGAGTGGGCGAAATTGTGGTCTTTAGGATAGAAGGAAGGGAAATCCCAATAGTGCATCGGGTTTTGAAAATTCATGAAAAGTACGTTTCCAATAGTGGGTGATCATGTATTGCCAAAACATGTTGACATCTTACATTCGCTCCTTCTGCTGCACGTAGGTGTTGTATCACCATGGTTTGGAGAATCAGGAGCATTTATTTATTTATTTACGGCATTTATATGCCGCCCTTCTCACCCCGAAGGGGACTCAGAGCGGCTTACAAGATATATACACACATAAAATATATTATATTATTAGCATAGTACAATATCAGTATTAATTATTACTATATTGTATTATACCATTATATTACAATATTATTAGTAATATTACATGTAATATAAATATATAATTATAATATCATATTAGTATTATTAGTAGGCCTGGGCAATCCATGGTTCTAAATGGTTCTAAAGTAGTTACAAAACTAAACTTCTGGTGGTGAAAATTTCAGAATTCTAACAGAACTTTGAGAGCTTTGTTAGAGTTATGAAATTTTTGCCACCAGAACTTTTGTTTTGTAAGAACTTTAGAACCATGGATTGACCAGGCCTAATTATTAGTATTATATTGCATTACATTATAATATATATATGTGTGTATGTATATGTATGTATGTATGTATGTGTATGTATATATATATATACACACACACATACAATATACCATATTACAGTAGATTATATTATATTATTAACATCCCTTTCTCTCTGAGGTCTACCTCACACTGAGGCCTACTATCATTGAGATTTACCTCACACTGAGGCCTCTCTCAGACTGAAGCCTCTTCATACTGAGGGCAACTCACACTGAGGCATACTAAGCTACAGGCATACTATTTATATTGAACTACAGCATTTACAGAGTCATTGCATCCATTTAACTCTTTCAGTGCTTGACTCACATTTTGCAATTAAAAATGCCTAGTTAATTTTTAATATTTCTGACAGAAAACAGCTTGGGAAGCGATGCTGCTTTTAGCAACTGTGATTGTCTTCCGCCATGATTGTCCTTTCCCGGCTGCTCTCAGTCTTGGTTGTTGTTCTCTTCTTTGCTAGACAAAATGGAGACATCAAGTTTTTGACGAAAGGTGACAACAACGCAGTGGATGACCGAGGCTTGTACAGACAAGGGCAGTACTGGTTGGAGAAGAAAGACGTGGTGGGAAGAGCGAGAGGGTAAGGCGCTCGCAAGCAGAGAGTGGTGTGTGGCTTACTTCACTTCCCATTGGGTTCATTCTCTGACGAGTCTTGTATGTTGTGTTCTTAGAATCATAGAATCATAGAGTTGGAAGAGACGTCATGGGACATCCAGTCCAACCCCTTGCCAAGAAGCAGGAAAATTGCATTCAAATCACCCCTGACAGATGGCCATCCAGCCTCTGTTTAAAATAGAGTAAAATAATAAATTACATTTATTCTTTTACTCCATTTATTATTATATTTATTATTTTCTCAACTTATTATTGTTACATTTATTATTTTCTCTATTATTATTACATTTACTATGTTACTCTATTTATTATTTATCATTATTCCATTTATTATTTTATTCTATGTATTATTATTATTATTATTACATTTATTATTTTACTCTATTTATTACTATTACATTTATTATTTTTCTCTATTTATTATTATTACATTTACTGTTTTACATTATTATTATTATTATTATTATTCCATTTATTATTTTACTCCATTTATTACTATTACATTTTTTATTTTACTCCATTTATTATTACATTTATTATTTCACTTTATTATTATTATTATTATTCCATTTGTTATTTTACTCCATTTACTACTATTACATTTATTATTTTACTCCATTTATTATTATTACATTTACTGTTTTACTTTATTTACTCCATTTATTATTTTACTCCATTTATACTATTACATTTATTATTTTGCTCTATTTATTACTATTACATTTACTGTTTTACTTTATTATTATTACTATTACAGTTATTATTTTTCTCATGTATTATTATTACATTTACTGTTTTACTTTATTATTGTTATTATTACATTTATTATTTTACTCTAGTGTTACTGTTATTATTACATTTCCATTGTTTTACTCTATTACTATTATTTTTATTACATTTAGCAGCCTCCACCACATTCCGGGCAGAGAATTCCTCTGCTGAACGGCTCTCACAGTCAGGAAGTTCTTCCTAATGTTCAGGTGGAATCTCCTTTCTTGTAGGTTGAAGCCATTGCTCCGCGTCCTAGTCTCCAGGGAAGCAGAAAACAAGCTTCCTCCCTCCTCCCTGTGACTTCCCCTCACATATTTATACATGGCCCTCATCATGTCTCCTCTCAGCCTTCTCTTCTGCAGGCTAAACATGCCCAGCTCTTTAAGCCACTCCTCATAGGGCTTGTTCTCCAGACCCTTGATCCTTTTAGTCACCCTCCTCTGGACACATTCCAGTTTGTCAATATCTCTCTTCAATTGTGGTGCCCAGATTTGGACACAGTGCGATTCCAGGTGTGGTCTGACCAAGGCAGAATAGAGCATGGGGAACATGACTTCCCTGAATCTAGGCACTAGATTCCTAGTTATGCAGGCCAAAAATCCCGTTGACATTTTTTGCTGCCGCATCTCATTGCCACAGTTTAAAATATCCATATTCATGCTTCTCTTTTGCGTAGCCAGGATCCAAGTGGAATAGACTCTTCCTTTGTTGTGTACCATAAAATCCGCCCTTATGTTTTCCATCTTGGACCATTTATGATCACTAAAAAGCTAAAACAACAGGACTTAAAAGCCCATTTGCTTTCATGTAGCGCTCAGTTTGAAAATAATGCATGCGGGAGTTGCTGGCCTTCAAGTTGCACTCACTAAAGCCCACATCATACACCTAATTTTGATGGAATTTGATGAGGGATGCTTGTGATGCTGTGTGCAAAGGCCATGTGATGCGGCAGCTTAAAAAGCCAATGGGATTTTGGCCTGTTGAAATAGAAGTGTAGTGCCTAGATCTAGGGAAGTGATGCTCCCCATGCTCTATTCTGCCTTGGTCAGATCACACCTGGAATCACACTGTGTCCAATTCTGGGCACCATAATTGAATGGAGATTTTGACTCTTAAGCTGGAATGTGTCCAGATGAGAGCGACCAAAATGATAAAGGATCTGGAGAACAAGCCCCATGAGGAGCGCCTTAAAGAGCTGGGTATGTTTAGCCTGCAGAAGAGAAGGCTGAGAGGAGACATGATGGGGGCCAGAGAAAGAGGGTGACTCAAAGGATCCAGGGTCTGGAAAACAAGCCCTATGAGGAGTGGCTTAAAGAGCTGGGCATGTTTAGCCTGCAGAAGAGAATGCTGAGAGGAGACATGATTGGGACCAGAAAAAGAGGGTCACTCAAAGGATCCATGGTCTGGAAAACAAGCCCTATGAGGAGCGGCTTAAAGAGCTGGGTATGTTTAGCCTGCATTAGAGAAGGCTGAGAGGAGACATGATGGGGGCCAGAGAAAGAGGGTGACTCAAAGGATCCAGGGTCTGGAAAACAAGCCCTATGAGGAGCGGCTTAAAGAGCCAGGCATGTTTAGCCTGAAGAAGGGAAGGTTTAGAGGAGACATGATGACGGCCATGGATAAATATGTGAGAGAAAGTCATAAGGAGGAGGGAGCAAGCCTGTTTTCTGCTGTCCTGGACCCGGAACAATGGCTTCAAACTATAGCAAAGGAGATCCCACCTGAACACGAGGAAGAACTTCCTAACTGTTAGAACTGTTCAGCAGTGGAACTCTCTGCCACGGAGTGTGGTGGAGGCTCCTTCTTTGGAGGCTTTTAAACAGAGGCTGGATGGCCATCTGTTGGGGGTGCTTTGAATGCGATTTTCCTGCTTCTTGGCAGAATGGGGTTGGACTGGATGGCCCATGAGGTCTCTTCCAAATCTAAGTCAACAAAATATAAAATCAGTCAGAGATTTTACAGCTGACGACTTGTGATGATGCCTAAACCAGAAGGTTTTGTCTTTTTTGCATTTTAGATTTGTGCCATACATTGGGATTGTGACCATCCTAATGAATGACTACCCCAAATTCAAGGTATGGCTCCCAGTCCGTTTTATCCCTTTTACTCTTAGAAATCTTGGCTCAAGAAGGCCTTGTATAGATCGGATGCTGAGGTGTGGGGTGCCTCACAAAGTCACAAACTAAGCATTTGTGGAAGAGGTCCAAACAGCTAAAGGAGCTGCCGGAATTTAAAGCACAGCTGAAGACCCATCTCTTCCGACAGGCTGACCCAGTCAATTTTAGACCATGAATTTAAAATTTCCAATCAATTACTATTGTATTTTAGTTTTGTGTACCATGCATTTTAATTACTATATATACTCGACTATAAGCTGACCCCAATATAAGCTGAGGCACCTGATTTTACCCCCCAAAAACTGGGAAAACGTATTGACTTGAGTACAAGCCGAGGGTGGGAAATGCAGCAGCTACTGGTTCATTTAAAAATAAAAATAGATACCAATAAAATTACATTAATTGAGACATCCGTAGATTAAATGTTTTGGAATATTTACATAAAACTGTAATTTAAGATAAGACTGTCCAACTCTGATGAAATTATTATTCTAACCATTCTCAATGTAAGTGTACGTACATATCCTTCCAATAATGATAAAGAGAGTAATACTAGAGTAAATTAATAATAAATATAATAATAGTAATAATAATAAAGTAAAGCAGCAAATGTGCTAATAATAGAGTAAAATGATAAATGTAATAATAATAGAGGAAAATAATAAATGTAATAATAATAATAACAGTAAAATAATAAATGTAATAATAATATTAATAAATAGAGTAAAATGCTAAATGTAATAATAATAAATGGAGTAAAATAATAAATGTAATAATAATAAATAGAGAAAAATAATAAATGTAATAATCATAATAGAGTAAAATAAAAAATGTAATAATAATAATAACTGAGTAAAATAATAAATGTAATAATGATAAATAGAGTAAAATAATAAATGTAATAAAAACAATAATACATAGAGAAAAATAATAAATGTAATAATCATAATGGAGTAAAATAATAAATGTAATAATAATGGAGTAAAATAACAAATGTAATAATAATAAATGGAGTAAAATAATAAATGTAATTATAATTCATAGAGTAAAATAATAAATAATAATAACAGAGTAAAATAATAAATGTAATAATAATAATAATAACAACAAAGTAAAATAATACGTAACCTTGACTCGAGTATAAGCCAAGGGGAGGTTTTTCGGCCTAAAAAAGGGGCTGAAAAACTAGGCTTATATTCGAGTATATACAGGATGTATTTTATATGTTATAGATATTGTCTGAAACTCTTATAAGGGGTTGGTTTAACTTGCAGCGTGTTAGTAAAACTGCATTACTGTGTTTGTGAAAGGATGCATGTCTACAAAGCCTGTCACCAGCTTGAAACGTTTGGAAAGCTCTGGTCTAATGCCCCAATGATTCCCTTTTTCTCGCCACTGACAGTACACCGTCCTCTTTCTCCTGGGCCTGTTCGTGCTGGTCCATCGAGAGTAGTCTGCCGCCCGGAAGATGGTGCCGGTTGCGCTGAAGAGAAGAGAGAGAGAAGGGTGTGATGGCGGGTACACGTCACTGCTTCCCGACCCAATGGGGCCGGGCTCTTTAGTTTTATTTTCTACTACAGCTGTGTAACAGGAAAGTTGATCCCAGTATTTTGAACGGTTTGTCACCTTTTAGCCTTTTTGTACATCGTTGAATTTTTTATATTAAAAGTTTTCAGCCAAAGTGTCTGGTCTGATCTTTCTGTCAGTCTTTTAGACCACCTGTATATATCTATAAGTAAAGGTTTTCCCCTAACATTAAGTCCAGTCATGTCCGACTCTGGGGGTTGGTGCTTATCTCCATTTCTAAGCTGAAGAGTCGGCGTTGTCCATAGACGCCTCCAAGGTCACATGGCCGGCATGACAGCATGGTGCGCTGTTACCTTCCCAGTGGAGCGGTACCTCTTGATCTACTCACATTTGCATGTTTTCAAAGTGCTAGGTTGGCGGAAGCTGGGGCTAACAGTGGGAGCTCAGCCCGCTCGGATTCGAAGCTGTGACCTTTCGGTCAGCAAGTTCAGCAGCTCAGCGGTTTAACCTGCTGTGCCACCGGGAGGCTACACTATGATTTTAAGTAACTTTTTAAATCTTTCTGCAACGAGAGAAGATAATGTTTCTGCAGAAGTTGACCACAGAATTGCTAATCAATGTGGCCAATTGCAACATTCATACTTGCCTCCAACAGACAAGAGTTCTTTCTCCCACCCTGGACATTATGTCACAAATATCCAAACCCCACTTGCCTAGTTTCCAATAGACCTCACAACCTCTGAGGATGCCTGCCATAGACGTGGGTGAAACATCAGGAGAGAATGCTTCTGGAACATGGCCAGACAGCTCTGAAAACTCACAGCAACCCCAAAACTACAAGCTTTTGCACAAATTCCAATGTTCCAATTGACATTCTTTATTTACTGAACTATTTACATTTATATATTGTGGTTTTTGTTTCAGTTCTAAGAATGTTTCCAACTTCGCTCAGTGTTGTTCTGTTTTTTTTTGTCTTTCCTGTATATTCGAGGGTTGAATGAAAAGTAATGCCTCCACCTTCGTTACTTGGGCTTAGATGGGAATATTTTAATAAACCAAACGCAGAAATAATCCTTAGAATGTGATCTTTAACTACTACTATTCACTTTTCCACATAATCACCAGACAATTGGATAAATTTCTGCCAATGATGAACAAGTTTTCTGAAGCCACAGAAAAAGTCGACACTGTTTCAACAACCAGCGTCTCACAGTTCTCTCATCCTGGGTAACCATCGTGCACAGATGTTCCGGTAATCAAGCAAAACAATAATGTGACCTACATGTTCTTGTGGAATGCCGATTATGCTTGAAATTTCTCTCTTAGCGATACGACGATCGTCCTGAATCAATCTGTCAACCTTTTGCTTGTGAAACTCAGTGGTTGCTGTCACAGGATGTCCAACTCTGTTTGTCACGCAAGTCAGATGTTCCCACCTCAACATCTTTGAACTTACTCTCCCAATGATGCACAGTACTCGCATCAACACAATCACCATAAACAGCTTGCCTTCTCTGATGAATCTCCTTTGGGGTGACACCTGCTGCTGTCAAGAATTCAATGACTGCATGTTGCTTAAATCGCATTAACCAACCGTCTGTGCAGGGTTCCATACTTCACACTTTAACAACACAACCGTTCAATGCTAAGGCTTCCCACCAAAATGGAACTGTAGAGGAGAGTCTACTGAACAAGCCAGTATCTGCCGCATACCAGTACTGCCATCTGTTGAGGAGTTATGAAGGTGGAGGCATTACTTTTCATTCAACCCTTTTCCTGTTTGCAAACCCACCTCCTTTAAACCAAGGATGTATCCCTACCATATTATTCTCTTGTGCGTTTTTTTTTCTTTTGTCCGCTGATGCAAAGACTGCTCATTAACGCCTTGTTTACACTGTATGCAAATGCACAGGTAACAAGTCAGTGGCAATACTTTCTTAAAATAATGATACTTCCCAAACAACGTCCTGCATCTCATCCGATGCACTTGAGTGCGTCCCATAATTGCCCCTGGGAACAAAAAAGTTAGTTAGTTATCCCATAATTGGTACTGGTTAATCCCACTCAAGGCACATCTTTAAGCTTTCCCCTTGTTTTCACAAAACAAAATGACAACAAGGACTCAAACTCTACTTTGGACCTTAATCTCCTTCTGACAACAGCATTTTTTAAATAGATAAAAAGGACGAACATAGAAAAATCAGAACAACTTCTGACTTTCCTATGATCTAAAATACGTTTCCACTTAAAAGGTGGGACTGTTCTTCATAGAGTTGGAAGAGACCTCATGGGCCGCCCAGTCCAACCCCATTCTGCGTCCTAGTCTCCAGGGAAGCAGAAAACAAGTTCTCTCCCTCCTCCCTATGGCTTCCTTTGACATATTTATCCATGGCCCTCATCATGTCTCCTCTCAGCCTTTTCTTCTTGGGGCTAAACATGCCCAGCTCCTTAAGCCGCTCCTCATACGGCTTGTTCTCCAGACCCTTGATCATTTTAGTCTCCCTCCTCTGGACACATTCCAACTTGTCAATATCTCTCTTGAATTGTGGTGCCCAGAATAGGACACAATATTCCAGGTGTGGTCTGACCAAGGGGGAATAGAGCATGGGGAGCATGACTTCCCTGGATCTAGACACTAGACTCCTCTTGATGCAGGCCAAAATCCCATTGGCTTTTTTTGCCACCACATCACAAGGTGAGACTGTTCTTCATCTGAAATAAAGCTACTAATTATTTAACTAACATTTATTGTTCCTTCCTTCTTCTCTCCATTCTCTTTCCTTTCTTTCCTCCTTCCCTCCTTGCTTCCTTCCTTCCTTCCTTCCTTCCCCCCTTCCCTTCCCTTCCCCCTTCCTTCTTCCTTCCTTTCCTTCCTTCCTTCCTTCCCTCTCCCTTCTTCCTTCCTTCCTTCTTCTTTCTTCCTTTCTTCCTTTCTTTCTCTTCCCTTCCCTTCCCTTCCCTTCCCTTCCCTTCCCTTCCCTTTTTCTTCCCTCTTCCTTCCTCTTCCTTCCTTCCTTCCCCTCTGTTCCTCCCTTCTTTTTCCTCCCTCCTCCCTTTCTTCCTTTCCTTCCCCCTTTCTTCCTTCCTTTCCTTCCTCCCTCCCTCCCTTCCCCCCTCCCTCCTTCCCTTCTTCTTCTTCTTTCTTTTCTTCCCTTCTTTCCTTCCTCTCCTCCTTCCTTCTTCCTTCCTTTCTTTCTTCCTTCCTTTCTTCCTTCCTTCCTTCCCTTCCTTTCCTTCCTTTCCTTTCTTTTCCTCCCTCCCTTTCCTCTTTCCTTTCCCTTCCTTCTTTCCTTCTTCCTTCTTCCCTCCCTTCCCTTCTTTCATCCCTTCCTTCCTTCCCTTTCTTTCCTTTCTTCCTTTTCTTCCTTCCTTCTTTCTTTCCTTCCCTTCTTTCTTTCCTTTCCTTTTTCCCCTTCCTTCTTTTTTCTTCCTTTCCTCTTTTCTTCCCTTCCTTCCTTTCTTTTTCCTTTCTCCTTCCTTCCCTTCCTTCCTTCCTTCCTCCTTCCTTCCTTCCTTCCTTCCTTCCTTCTTCCTTCCTTTCCTTCCTTCCTTCCTTCCTTCCTTCCTTCCTTCCTTCCTTCCTTCCTTCCTTCCTTCCTTCCTTCTCCTTCTTCCCTCCTTCCCCAAAGAGGGACAAAGTTATTGCAATTTTCCACATGGCCACGAGAGGGCGGCATAGAAATGCCTTCGGGTGTCCTACGCGCCCCTGTAGCGGGTCTTAATGGCTCAGCTGCCTGTTTCAGAGCCAGGTCTCATCCGAAGCCCTCTAAGGCTCAAAAGGCGCAATTTCCCGATGTGGCCAGTGGAGGGCAGCAGAGGACAGTACATTGGCGCCGAAGAGTCCCGGGCAAAAGGCGCCTCTGCAGAATATCAAGGGGGTGCAATTTTCAATGCGTCCACTAAGGGGCGGCAAAGGGCAATGGGGGCAGCATGCAGGTGAGCAAGTAGGCAACATTGGGACCACTCTGCATGTGCTCAGAGGCAAGCTTTCTCTATAATTTCCATGGTCTAGCCCAGGCATGGGCCAACTTGGGCCTTTCAGGCGTTTGGACGTCAACTCCCAGAATTCCTAACAACCTCAGGCCTCACTCTCAGAATTATGGGAGTTGGAGTCCAAACACCTGGAGGGAGGGCCCAAATTTGCCCATGCCTGAGCTACTCTTAGGCAGGAGGGCCTTTGAGTCGCTCTGCATAGGCTCAGAGGCACTCTTTTCCTATGATCTCCAAAAGGGAGGGAGGGGCTGCTCCATTGGGGTGGTCTGCCAAATAGAAAGCGGGGCGTCGCTTGTGCCTTTATCCTCCCCTCCTCAAAATACCAAAGTCCCCGCCCAGGCAGCAGAGCTATTTAAGCCACAATTCGAGGAGTAAAGAAGTGGACCTGCTGCCAAGAGCTCAAAGGAGAGCAGCGCTAGGGCGCCACCTGGAGGCCACAGGAGGAACTACACCGCATCCATTCGTCCCTCCATCCTCCCGTCGGGGCTGTTGTTCATGGCGAAGGCCGGAGCCAGGGTCCTCCAGGCGGCTAGCCTGGCCTGCCTGCTCCTCCTGGCCAGCAGCGCCCTCCCGCCTGCCTTGGGGGGCAAAAGGGACGGGCCGTTCCGGCTCAGGGAGCACCTCTGGGCCACAGGTAAGACCCTTCCCCAGGAATGGGCTTTCCCCAAATGGTCCACGAGTCTGTCCTTCCTTCCTTCCTTCCTTTCCTTTCCTTTCCTTTCCTTTCCTTTCCTTTCCTTTCCTTTCCTTTCCCCTTTCTTTCATTCCTTTCCTTCCTTCCCTTCCTTCCCTTCCCTTCCTTCTTCTTTCCTTCCTTTCCCTCCTTCCTTCCCTTCCTTCCTTCTTCCTTCTTCCTTCCTTCCTTCCTTCCTTCCCTTCCTTCCTTCCTTTCCTTTCCTTAATTCCTTCCCTTCCTTCTTTCTTTCTTCTTTTCCTTCCTTCCCTTCCTTCCCTTTCTTCCTTCCTTTCCTTTTCCTTTCCTTCCTTCCTTTCTTCCTTCCTTCCTTTCCTTCCTTCCTTCCTTTCCTTCCTTCCTTCCTTCCTTCCTTCCTTCCTTCTTCCTTCTTCCTTCCTTTCTTTCTTCCTTCCTTCTTTCTTTCCTTCTCTTTCTCCTTTCCTCTTCCTTCCTTTTCCTTCCTTCCCTTTCCTTCTTCCTTCCTT